CTCAGCACATGGCCTCTGCAGTGTGGGCTTCAGCCTAGAATCACTCACAATTCTGCCAGTCAGTACCAGAACAAATAAGAATGTTTGATGGGACCAAAAATACACTAACAAAAAGAGGAGAGATAGTCCATATATGAGACTCTTGCTCTCAGGAGGTTTTGCTTTCACAGTCAGTATCAAACCTTGAAATCATCCTAACATGACCCTAACCTTTGCCCAGAGAAAAGACAGACATATCCTTTCAACACTGACCTCTTCCCTTGATACTTATCCCAGCCCCTCCCTGAATATGCTGCTAAAAGCATGAGAACTATTTGGGGAATTATCATTCACAGTTGAGTCCCCTGAGAAGCTCTGGACACTTTAAAAGGACCAGACATTTCAAACAGGAACTGCTTACTGTTCTTGTACCTAATCTACCATTGAATTTGAATTCTGAATTGAAGAATGCCACCCACACCCTTTTCTCTCCAGCTGTTATTGCTCAGGTATGTTACAAACAAAGTTGAATAGAGTAGTTAGGAGAAGAGGAAACTGGACTACTAGATCATATACTGAGCTCTCCCTCCTAGCCATGTCCCCACACCATGTTAGTCAAGAGGGTTTTGAATGGTAGATGGTGGACATGGGACAGGAAACTTAGAGGCATAATCCTACCTTAATTACTGTGTGTGCTCTTATAAAAAGTAATGTTCATTTTTATACTTAATCTCTCATCTCTTTTCTTCTCATAATGTAGTTCTTTGATTTAAAAAACTGGAAGTGTAATCTATACCTTTCTTACTTAAACTTGTATTATATATTTAATTACCATAGTGAATTTTCTACAACTTGGAACATTCAAGCTCAACACTAGGATATGGTTTTCTTTGGGAGAAATTTTGTAGTTCTTTTGTGTTACAAATGGTAGATACTAACGAGGAAAGAATGAAAAGGAGTAAATTAGGGGAGATAGAAGAAGAGCAGAATAGGAGAGGAGCAGGGCAAGGGGGAGAAAGAGAGACAAGAGACTAATAGCTAACACAGACAACCTTGCACACATCGCGTACTCCTGCTTTCACCTAGCTATCTAGGTAGGATGAAAGCATGTCATTGGTTAACAGCTTCTTCCACTTCAGATTCAATGAGAGGGAAGGAGGATGGTGGAAAACAGAGAGGATTGTGCTATTCAAAGGAAAATAATGAGAACTCTGTTGTGTGACCTAACTAAAGCTAGCTGGTCGATTACAAAAGCAAAAGCCAACAAATATGTACTATAATTAATGACAAAGTGTTTCATTAATTTAAAAATTGGTATGTTTACATTTAATGATACTAAGAATTCAGTTCAGAGGGAGTCAGGCTCTGCTACAGACATGGATGACATCCCTTTGTAGGAGTGAATTAGAGCAATCAGCTGATCCATTGATCTGAAGTGACAGTGACCAGCACTAAGAATTATTCTTTATTTCTACTGTGTCCCATCTTCCTTATCCACTTACTCAGACATTTATGCAGCAAGTCTGTAACTAGTTTTCTTGCTTATGCCAGAGTTAAGAGCTCCAGTGATGAAGCCAACCAGTCCCCCTGGCCTAAGCCAAGATTTGCTCTCCTTTTTCGATTTCCTGCTCTCCCTTTCTATAATTGAATGTAACTAATAACAAAAATAAAAGAAAAATGTTTGGAAATCAAGAGCATAGCTAGAATAGAAAATCATGAGTGAAACTTTTCATTCATCAGTCAGGATGAACCCTCTGTGTTTAAAGATAGAGGGATAATAAAGATGACCCCTTAATGTCTCTTATTTCTCCAACTCTTATATTTTTGGTTGTGAGCCTAGCCTTTAACGGCTGAGTCATCTCTCCAGCCCTATTTCTCCAACTCTTAAATGAAGCAGAGCAGAGTGCATGATGACAAGCTTCACTGGGAATCTGCACATCTCTCTCTGAATGATGGCAGATCTCCATTTTGCCATTTTCTCTCCTGATCAGCATTCTCATCCTCAGGATGATCTTGCACCACTGCCCACTACTGCCCAGCTTCTGGCACTATGCTCTCCAAATCCCTTTTCATTTGTCTGTTCCCCACTTCCTCCATCCCCAAGCCTTCACTTCTCTCTTGCATTCGTGCTATTTATCCTAGCTTTCTTTCCTTATATCAATCTCTTGTTTTTCTTTAAGAATCATAAAATAATGGTGTTATCATCAAATTAACTTTTCCATTATAGTTTATTTTAATTTACAGTATGGGTGGCAAAGCTGGAGAGAGAATTGTATGTTTTTAATGGTTTTTCTATGTCCTTCTACATTATAAAAAGGACTTTTGAAAGAACGTAAGACTATCCTTAACTTCCTAAACTTTTTCATTAAAATGTTTCTGATATCCACATCAACCTACAGATTTTCTTTTAAGGAAAAAAACTTAAAGAATGTTCACTTTTCACTTATTCTCCAAAGTCCATAAGGAATAAGTTCTTTAATTATCTCCAGTTTATGAAAACTTTCTCTGAATCACTAAAGTCCTCATATTGCAATACTTTTTAAACCACTCGTCTTCATCTTTATGCAATTAACAATAGTAACCTGATCTTATTTATATTGTGTCATTTTTCCTTGTGATTCTCTACTATGTCCCTTATTAATCTAATTTTATGTCCTATCTTCATTTTAACATTTCTAGAACTATGATCTAAGCCCCAAACTCTGCTTTCCACACTGTATTGCATAGCAATTTTTCCATACAGATGGCAGGTGCCCTATAGTACAAACTCTCACTCAAAACAAACAAACAAACAAACACACACACTATATATGTATATATGTATAATATATATATATTTTTTTTTCTAGATACCCCATTAATTTCTATTCTTCTAGAAATTCCAGAGCCCCTTTTGAATCTTGCATTCAATATGCCCCAAACTTAACTGCATCTCACAAATGTGCTTATTCACTATTATTTTCTGTTTTGGTTCATTTACTATTATGATATAAATTGCAAATTTCCAAATACAGGAATTTACTGGGTACTAAATTTAATTTTAAACTGCCTGATTCTTGTAACAACTAATTTTCTGTGCAACAGCAGTATTAATACAGTGAAAAGACCATATTGACTCTAGATGTAATCTAGAGTGGTTTGGATTTTAATCTCAATTCATTCCTACTTAGTAAACTTAACCAGATCATTTGATCTCTTTCTCACTGTTCCATCTTCTTCATTTGGCTCCTAAGAATAGAACTTCTGTGGTAGAACTAGTGTCATCGCTGAATGGCATGCATCTAATATAATAACATGTAGCAAATACTATTTCAAACGTTTTATGTCCGTGATGGATAATAACTAGTCCTTCTACACTGCATGCATAGGACACAACTGACCATTTTATGGTGTAATTGGTTCTGAAGAAAAAGCAAAATCAACCCTGTTCAGATATTACAGGCAACTATGCCTAAAAGTCATATCAATCCCAGCTGAGAGGCATAGCTCACTCTGAGCTAAGTTCTAGGCAGTAAATTCTAGGCAATAGATTTGAGACTCCCTCTGGTCATTTCTGATGTCTTTCCTTTGTTCTTTGTGCATCAGAGTTGATGCTAACCTCTTCTGCACCATTTTTCCATCAAGGACTACTTTAATCCATTCTGATTCTGGAGACTGCTACCTCCCAGAATTAACTCTGTTTTTCTGAAGATAATTTTTGGGGACTCAGCTTCCTCTAAGTCAGTGGTTCTCAACCTTCTAATACTGTAACCCTTTAATACAGTTCCTTGTGTTGTGATCCCCCAAACATAAAATTATTTTTATTGCTCCTTCATAATTGTAATTTTGCTACTGTTATGAGTCATAATGTAAATATTTTTGGAGATAGAGGTTTGCCAAAGGGATTGTGACCCATAGGTTGAGAACCTCTGCACTAAGGAGTCATTCAATTCTAAGATTCAGATACTATAAGCCTCCTCACACAATGTTGTGGAAAACTGTCACCATGCATGATAAGCAATGACCTTCTTGAAATCACAGCATATTATAGTTACCTGCAAGACACCTTTACAAGATCAGGCCTGTTAAAATTTCCTTGTGAAGAGAATGGGGATAAGGCCATTGGGACCTCACCTGAGATCAAGACTGAACTCTCCTGACCTAAGGTGCATGTAATTCTGTCCAATTTTATGTGGTCATGGGATGTACTAGAGAATACAGTTAATGGAATACCAATTGAAGAACTATGGAGTTTAGGAGCCATTGCCCATGCTGTGGTGGGAATTTTCAATGTACACCTGTTTGAGAGTCACCCACACTCCTGAAAATAACCCTTCATTAACACATCTGCATGTGAACTCAGTAAACTGATTGTTTCACTTAGCTAAACTTGGTTGAAATCATGTCTTTGGTCCTTGCTGCCTTATCAGTGGTTAATAAACTTTTATTCATTATCTCCCTAGGAAACTAATGTAATACATCAAAAAGCTACTATATAGGTTCAGGAAATATCCCACTCTGTTCATAAGTTCTGGGATGCCAGCCAACAACTTCTGAACACTATTTTAGATCTCCCCCTGTAGTCTAGAAAACTTGGAATGAAACAAAACACTCAGGCAAGTGAATATATTTGAAGGCATATTGTGTCCAGCTAACCCTAGTAGATATTTCTGCATTGTACTTTTTAGTTTGAGTTCATCGTGCATATGAGGTGATTGTGAATGCTTCAGTTATTAAATAGACAACATTTCTAAGGGATAAACACACCAAAATGTAATATATGAGGTTGCCTCATTGAATATTAGAGAGACCAGCACTAGAAGACATGCTACCATAAGGCTAAGTTTCATAGAATCCATAAGCTATAGCAATCCATTATGATCATCCACCCTGCTGCTATAGAAAGGGTACTAGATGAAGTCCCCATCTGCATATTCTTCCTGACTTGATAGTCATTTAGATGACAGTGGATTCAGTTCTCTCAATCATTTATGTGGAATATATCTTATGCCTTAGGTTGGCGAATATAAGATTGTAAAGCCATGGTCACCATTTACAACAGCAGTCTCCAAAAAGCCACTTTCTTCCTGACAGGCTTCCAAGGTCTGGAAGAGCTCCATGGCTGGATCTCCATTCCCTTCTGCTCCATCTACTTGACAGTGATTTTAGGGAACCTTACCATTCTCCATGTCATCCGAACTGATGCCACCCTCCATGAACCCATGTACTATTTCTTGGCCATGCTGGCCCTCACAGACTTGGGCCTTTGCCTCTCCACACTGCCCACTGTGCTGGGAATCTTCTGGTTTGATGCCAGAGAGATTGGCATCCCTGCCTGCTTTACTCAGCTGTTCTTCATCCACACCTTGTCTTTAGTGGAATCATCAGTTCTACTGTCTATGTCCTTTGACCGCTATGTGGCCATTTGCAACCCACTGCGTTATTCTACCATCCTGACACCCAGAAGAATTGTGAAGATGGGGCTGAGCTCAGTACTGAGAAGTGCACTCCTTATTCTCCCATTACCATTCCTCCTTAAGCGCTTCCATTATTGCCGCTCTCATGTGCTAGCCCATGCCTACTGTCTGCATTTGGAGATCATGAAACTGGCCTGCTCTAGCATCATTGTCAACCATATCTATGGACTCTTTGTTGTGGCCTGCACTGTGGGTTTGGACTCCCTGCTCATCTTCCTTTCATATACCCTTATCCTCCATGCTGTACTAGGCAAAGCCTCCCGCCAGGAACGCCTCCGTGCCCTCAACACCTGCATCTCCCATATCTGTGCAGTGCTGCTATTCTACATCCCCATGATTGGCTTATCCCTTGTGCATCGTTTTGGTGAGCATCTTCCCCGCATTGTACACCTTCTGATGTCTTATGTGTATCTGTTGGTACCACCCCTCATGAACCCTATTGTCTACAGCATCAAGACCAAGCAAATACGCCAGCGTATTGTCAAGAAGTTTGAGTTTGTAAAGTCACCTAGGTGTTTTCAGTAGAATTAGAAAAAAAAATTGGCCATATAGGCCACTTTATTATAGTTTCATCTATGTTGTGGGAAAATACCATGATCTCACTTATTAACAAAAATAAAAAATAGTAGGTATATAATTGACAGTCTGTGTAACATTGAGGGAGTTACTTACCTCTCTGACTCTTTAGTTTTCACAATTGAAAGAACATAGAAATAAATATAATACCTTCCTTTCCCATGGGGATGTTGCAAATATTAAATGAGGCAATTCACAGAAATCTCTAACACAGTGCCTGGCAAATATATAATTCTCCATGTATACCAATGTTTATAATGTGAGAAAGTGCAAACTGGCACGTTTCCTCTTTCAATCCTCTCTTGACAGTGAAATTTAATTAGTGGTTCTCTTTTTAATTTATCTTTTTATGTATTTTATTGCCTTATTATCATAACAGTTTTTATTCATTTACACATATCCATACCCACACTCACAGTAATGAATTTTCATGAGGATGCCTCTTATTCATACATGTACAGGCATATACATGGGCATACACATGTGTACATGTGCACACACACAAACACACAAACTCGCACACATAGACACACGTACACCAAGGGAACAGATGTCCTCAAATTTTGAAGAAAGATATCAAATTAAACCAGTATAAGATTTAATAATGGATAATCTTCAGGAGAGGTCATGGAAGCAGGGGGTTATCACTCATGAACTGAGTAAGTACTCAAGGGACTTGACTTCTTCCTTTACCTACTGTAGGTACAACCCAGATGAGAAATTGAAAGATAAAAGTATTGTTGTTCTTTGCAAAATATTCCTATCTTCTGTGTCTACTCAAATCAATGATGCATACATATGCACACAACATGCATGTGCACACACCCATACATACTGTTGCGCACACACATTACTGTTCTTGTTTTTTCTATGTGAGTATGTTTGCTGTTCTCTGATTGTTTGTATTTGGTACTTATTTCACTGTTGCCCAGTTTGTGTGAAACAGTTTGTCTATCATTACATTGTCTATATACATAAACAGCAAACGATGACATTTTATATTGAGACACAGAACAATCATCTTCTATGACTTCCTTTAGAGTCATGAGAACTAAAATGGTTTGGTTCAACCATCTCTTTCTGTCTAGCAGGCTAATTTCAGATACAATGAAGGAAGCTATTTTAAGAGAAACAAAAAGATGTAACATTTCACTATGAGGAGAAAGAAGATAAAACTAGCAACGCTACAAGGTTTACTACATTTACACATGATCAGTTTTAGGTGTTGGCCCTTCACATGTAGAGAAGGCAACAAAAAATAAAACTATGAAAGTAATCATGCTTGCATAACATACATAGGCATGCCTAGCAATAAAGACAAAGGTAGAGCCTAAGCACTTAAAATATATAGATTCCTATGAACATGCATCCTAATGTATTCCACCCTTTGTGTGGTCCAATTGCCTTTTGGTCAATCATCATATGATTACTGCAAATGCCTGATGAATCAGCTTTTCTTTGTCTATGTTGCCTGCTTCTTCAGTTCTTGTGATGGCCTAAGACCATCCAGTGATCACTTCCTACCATTTGAGACATATTCCATGCTCATTGTTATCAGAATTCCAGAGAGAGGACTGCTATGAGTCAGGAGTTGGTGTTGTCCCTTCCTTATCTAAAGTAATGCCTGTCTTGCATGCAAGCACCCATGCCTCTGCCAACACCAATTTCTCATGAACTTAGCAAGCTCTCACCCAACTGTCAACTCCAGTAAAGGCATTGCAATGTCACTGTATGTTTGCTGTGTTTGCCACTCTTATTCCCGCCTCCTTCATTCTTACACAGAGCGGCCTGCAGGACAGACTCTAGTAGCTGCTTTCATATGAATGTGTCTTCTGCCTTAACCTCGATTACTCTTTTTCTTCTTTTTAATAATTCTGGAGATGGAACTAACTCAGCTCTATGTGCATATTATGCACAACCTCTGGCACTGATCTTCATATCTAATCCTTCCTTCTACACTGCTCTTGAAGTATATGGGGACTCTTACTCCTCAAATTAATTTATTATTATTTTCACCATAACTTGTTTTGAATGGCTCTGATTTTTCACTCTCTGTATAAGCTATTAACATTAATATTACCTAAAAATATGCTTGTAATTTTAAAATAGTTGTAATGTTCATCTAATAAAATGTCAAAAAACAATCATTTTTATTGTAATTTTCTCAAATTATTTTTATTTGGTAACATCTACAACCATGAAAGGGATTATTTCCTCTCCAATTATCACATAAGCCTTTTAGAGACAAGAAACAGTAAAATTAACTATTGTAACCAATATTATATATATCTAATAAAAGAGAGCCTAGAACCACACCCAAATCTGCTTTACTTAAAAAGCTGCACTTCTTATAGCTGGGTACTTTAGGCTTAGTGAACTCTAGTTTTTCCACATTGTATTCTATTTTTCTTTACAAAAGCTTCATGGAGTCTTAAAGCTGACAGGAGCTGGGCGGTGGTGGTGCACGCCTTTAATCCCAGCACTCGGGAGGCAGAGGCAGGTGGATCTCTGTGAGTTCGAGGCCAGCCTGGACTACCAAGTGAGTTCCAGGAAAGGCGCAAAGCTACACAGCAAAACCCTGCCTCGAAAAAACCAAAAAGAAAAAAGAAAAAAAAAAGCTGACAGGATAAACTTGTCTGTGATATAAATCATTCTCTATGTTATTTCTAATTAAAATTGTTAAAGGTGAATCAAAGATTAATCACATTTCTTTCTCTCTCTCTCTCTCTATCTCCCTTTCTTTTCTCCTTCCCTCCCACTTCATAATGTGCCATTCAAACTTAGCCAAAATATTTCTAAGACTAGTTTTATTATTCAAGAGCTCAGGTTTAGAGATGTTAAAGAAGTATTATCACAGGAAGTAGAGAATAAAATGCATTATTTTATTGCATACAAAACATTTTTGCTATAAAATGTGTTAAACATGTTAATAAAAGGGTGGCTGGATTGAGGATATATAAGTGCTGTAGGTTAGATCATTTCTAACTTCTAAGAACTGAGACTGTAACTATATTTAGACACAAGGTCATGAAGCAGGTAACTGAGATAAAACAGAGTCAATAAAGTAGAACTAACACCTGATAAGTGATGTACTTATAAGAAGTGATTTTAACACTTAAAAAGAAGGCAGGGCTGTATCTGCACAGGGTAAAATATGTAAGGACCATTGTTTGAAGATGACCCATGCAAACCCAGAAGAGAAGATCAGAATTGTATACATCCTATTCTTGGATTTTGATACCTTTCAGACTGTGGGAAAAACAAACTGCTGCTATAAAGCTCCCTAATCTATAGTATTTAGTTATGTCATCCTTTAATTAATATAGCAGGTTCTTGGGTTTGGAAACAACTCCAAACTAAATGTGAAGCTACTAATTTTTTATAAATATAATTTCATTATTATTTTATAATAAAAGTTTTAAATCAGAATTGGAATAAATCACAAATACAAACATGCACAAAAACACTCAAGTCTTTGTAATGTTCTTCAATGTTAAATTTTCTGATGCACTGTGTTGAGGCTGACATTTGTGTGATCACAAGCATGACAGTCCATTCTAGTCCAGTCCAGATTACCTGGAGGACTGTGATTTGAATAAACACTGCTTCACAACACCCTCCTGCAGATAGTGTGCTTAACCAAAAGTATAGTGGATTGTGGCCACAGAGGAACCATTTACATCCCAAAAATATCAGCTAAATCACCAGATAGGAATAAACTGCAACAGGGCTGGGGACTCAGAAATTTCTTCATATTCACAATTGGTTTAGTAATTACTAAACATTGAAAGGGTATTTGCTTCTCTGTCTATAATGGCTTCTTCATCATCTTTCCCAGAGTCAGAAAATAAAGGATTACTTCTTTATATCCCTGTATCATCATATCAAAATAATGGTTTCGTTTGCTTGGATTTGATACCCAAGATTGGATCCAGGCCCTCATAAAAGTTAAACATGAATTCTATGACTGAGATACCACCTCCAACTTCTTTTCAGTTTTGAGATAATCACCTTATTGCACAATATCTCACCAGAACTCATGTCTACTCCCACACAATAGTTTGATCTCACTAGCTAGCCTTTCCCCATCTAATTCAACATAACACTCATCAGCCTCTGGAGATTACTATGCTCTCATCACTGCCAAGACCAAGTTTTCAGATTCTGTGTAGGAGTTCTTTCAGGTGGTATTGGTCTCTCTGGGCTACCTCACTAAAAGAAGTGATTGTATTTATTTATGTATTTTGAAAATTTCATACATGAGTACTATATTTACATCATTTCTATCCCTCACTCTCCTACCTCCAACTCCTCCCATATAACCCCTCACTCCTTCCCAAGTTTGTGACCTCTTTTTCTGACTGTATTATCAATTTTATTATAGTATATATTGTGTTATTTTGTTATTTTACTACACACACATACCCTACTAAGTCAATTCAATGTTGTTCATATGTATATGTGTTTAGGGCTGAACACTTATAGTTGGATAATTTATCAAGTTGATCATACATGGAGAAAACTTTCTCCCTCCCCCAGAAGTAATTGATTTCCTCCTGCAGTTCTCCTTCTAAGGGTGGGACTTTGTGGACTATCCCCATACACATTGGCATGTCAATTCATGTGGTTAGTAGTCAGCTCTTTTTTAGGCCACCATACCATTGATGTTTCATGGGTTCCACATCCCTGACAGGTCTAGAAGACACAATCTAGCAAAAAGCATCCTTTACCTCTTGGAAATGTTCTATCCTTGTTTTCCTCAATGTCTCTGAGCCTTAGGTGTAGGGGTCATGTATCAGTTGGGGCTAGACACTTCATAGTCATTTACTCTTGCATTTTGACCAGTTATAGATCTCTGTAGTCACCTCCAACTGCTTCAAAAGAAGTTCCTTTGATGAGAGGTGAGGGCCACATTTATATATAGGTATAAGGATATATATTTAGAATAC